AAAAAAAGAAGAAAGACAAAGGCTGAAAATGTACTCAAAGAAATAATGGCTGAAAGCTTCCCCAAAGTTAAAACATTGACATTAGTAGACTGTGATAGGTTGCTTATGTATAATGTAATAATTTAGCAATCACTAAAATCTACATGACAAATACACTCAAAACCTATAACAGTAAGCCAAGATGGAATTCTTTAAAAAGGTTCAAGTAATACACAGCAAAGCAGGAAAAATGAAAAAGAGGAACGAAAAAAACAGAGGGAATAAACAGAAAACAAAAAGTAAAACAGCAAACAAGCCTTAACATACCAAAAATGACATTAAAGGTAAACAGCCTAAATAAACCCATTAAAAAACGGGATTGGCAGTGGTTAAAAAAAAAGAAAACTTGACCCAAACATGCTGTCTACAAGAAATCTACTTCAAACATAATGACACAGGTAGGTTGAACATAAAAGGATGTTCAAAGATATACTCTGCAAAAAGAACAAAAAGATAAGGTAGACTTTAGAATAAAGAAATTACCAGTCAGAGAAGGAAAGGGCCAATTCCCCAAACCCAAATGTGTATGCATCAAACAACAGAGATGCAAAATACATGAAGCAGAAACTAACAGAAAGGAAAAGACAAATGAATCAAATCCATAATTATACTTAGAAACTTCAACATCCCTTGCTCAGCAATTGGTAGAACCATTAGAAAATCATCGAGGATGTAGATGAACTGAAGAATACTATCACCCAACATTTGCAAAACATTCCACCCACCAATAGCAGAACATTCTTTTCATAAATAAACCTGAAAACATTTAAAAGAACCAAAACCATACAAAAGTGTGCTCTCTGACCACAGTGAGACCAAACTAGAAATCAATGACAGAAAAGCAATAGGAAAATCTCCAAACACTTGGAAATTAAGCAACTCACATATACCATGAGCCAAAGAAGTAGCAACGGAAAATTTTAAAAACACATTTTAATGAAAATATATCAAAATGTGTGGGATGCAGCTAAAAGTAGTGTTGAGAGGGAAATTTATAGCAATAAATAATTACATTAGAAAAGATGAAAACTCTCAAACAAATAATCTAAGCTCCTATCCTACCTTAATAAATTAGAAAAACAATAGCAAAATATACTTGACGTAAACAGATGGAAGGAAATAATGCTAAAATGCAGAAATGATAATGATCATAATGATTTTATCATTTTATCCTAATGATAAAAGCAGAAATCAATGAAATTGAAAACAGAAAAACCATACAAAAAACAGATGAGACAAAAAGCTGGTTCTTTGAAAAAAAAATCAATAAACTGATAAACCTCTAGAAAGACTGACAAAGACAAAAGAGTGAAGACATGATTTACCAGTATCAGGAATGAAAGAAGAGATATTGCCACAGAACTTAAATACATCAAAAGGATAGGGAATACTATGAACAATTCTGCACAGGTAGATTTGACAATTTAGGTGAAGTGGAACAACTCCCTGAGAAGCACAACATACCACAACTCATCCAATATGAAATAAATAATTTGAGTCGTTCTATATCTATTAAGGAAATTAAACTCTTGTTTCCAAAAACTGAAAGAGAAAATCTCCATGTCCAGATAGTTTCACTTGGGAATTATACCAAGCCATTTAAAGATTTAACACCAGTTCTACACAATCTGTTTCAGATAAAAGGAGGGAATTCCAACTTATTTTATGAGGCCAGTATTATCCTGAGACCAAAATCAGACAAAGCCCGTGGAAAAAGAGAAAACTACAGTCCAATATCCCTCATGGACAAAAATAACCTATCCCTCATAGATAACAAAAATCCTCAACAAAATATTAACAACTAGAATCTAGCAATGTATAAAAATAATTATGTGCAATAAAGCACAACTAAGTGAGGTTTATTCTAGGGATACAGGCTGATTCAATATTTGAAAATCAATCTAATCCAATTATCACAAGTTAAAAAGGAAAAACTACATGATCATATCCAATGACACAGATAAAGCATTTTACTAAATTCAACATCCATTCATGATAAAACTCTCAGGAAACTAGGAACACAAGGTAACATCATTAACCTAGTAAAGAACAGCCATTTAAAAAAAACTAGAGATAATATCATACTTAAGGCGGAGAGACTGAAAGCTTTCAGAATCAAGGCAAAGAAGTCTGCTGCCACCACTGCTATTCAACATAGTAGTGGGTGTTTTAACCATCCCAATAGGGCAAAATAAAATTAAATAAAAGGAATAAAGATTGGAAAGGATGAAATACGACTGTCCTTACTTAAAATGACATGATTGTATATGTAGAAACTCTCAAGGAATCAACACGCACAGAAAACTATTGACACTGCACACAACAAATTGGATGAATCTGAAGGGAATTGTGTTGAGTAAAAGAAGTCATTCTCAGAAAGTTATACTGTATGATTCCATTTATATAATATTCTAAATGATAAAATTATAGAGATGGAGAACAGCTAAGTGGTTGCCAAGATTGAGAGATGTGGGAGGAGAGATGATTGTGACTATAAAGGGGCAGCAGGAAGGGTTTTGTGGTTACAGAACAGTTCTACGCCTTTATTATGATGGTGGTTACACAAATCTGTGCACATGTCTCTAAACAAATGGCCACAGGCCTCAACAACAACAAGAAAAAAAAAAACCTGGGAAAATGGGAATCTGATTTTCAGAGTTACCACATTATATGTAAATGTCTAGTTTTCAATGTATTTCCTTGCTGTCATCTGGGAGGGCCTAGAAACAAGGACACTCCAATAGTAATGAGCACATCTAGTATGAGGCAGGTAATAGAAGGAGGGCAAGCATTGTTCAGGATCCCTGTAAATTTCAAGAAGCTTCAAGGCCTTTTAAGTTTCAAGCCCTTGTATGTTGCAAAAAAGCTCCAATCCAACTCAGCCCTTCACAAGTACACTTAATTATATATACCTCAGCTCTGACCGGTTACGCCCTTAGCAAATGAAGCATTGTACTTTCAGCCAATCAGGAGTAAGTTGCGTTCAGTTCTCCATTAGGTCAGGGAGGGGAAATGCCTCCTCTCACGAGGCAGTATAAACCCCAGACACCACAACCCTGAAGGCATCCTCCTCTGGAACTCCTGAGTAGCGGGAACTTTCTCTTTTCACCCATTGAAAGAGCTTTGCTGGCTGCTCCATGCTCTTGTCTGCTGGCTTCATTCTTCATTGCCTCTGAGACACGATCCTGGGGAAAAACAGCGTTCCGGCCGGTAACACTATGATGATTAAAGTTCATTTAGTTATTAGCTACAATCATAAGGTAGGGAGATGTCGGTTTGGCTGCTTTGAACCAGGCAGTTGCTTGCCATAGATACGTCAGAACCTTGACAGCCACTATTAGAATGTTGCCATAGGCTCATATGTGGGGAAACTGAGGCTGTGTTAATCTGGCAACAGAGCTTGAAAGCTCAATATACCTTCCTATTACTCTACACATCCTGTGTATCTCATCCAAAACAAACCAACTTCTAATCAGATAAATATTTAACCACCTCAAGGTAAGCAAAATATATTATTATCTCCCTTCTACAGATAAGAAATCTGAAAATGGTAGGTTGCATTTAGTTGATTTCATCCCAGGGTACTCAGGGGAGGCACTGGAAATCAAAGAAAGGACTGGTAATCCTTAGTCAATCATTTTCCTCCTCGGTTATCCTACTTCTCCTTCCTTAGGATAAGTTCTTAAGCAAGAATTGGTATGATGGCAGTTTGACCTTTCTTGGTGATATTAGCAAATACAGCCAGCCTGAGATCAATCAGGAATCTCTTCCAATTATCAGGAAATAGATATGAAGCCACTGCTGGCCTCATCCCAAAGGGAGATGGCTGTCATGGAACCCAGATCAGGCTCTGGTGTTTCAGGCTCCAGGTCTTACCAGCCTCATGAGCAAAGCTGGAGTAAGGCTGGTTTTGATCACAGGCCATATATAAGGTTTCCCTTTCATCTGGCATAAGCCAGAGCCATTCTCCAGGACATCCATATGGGAAGTCGAACGATTTCATATGGAATGAACTGTGCTCTAAGAAATGCTATGAAATGTGAGTCTCTATTTGGGAACAGCAATTCTCCAGAACAGTGGGTGACCCTCAGAACCTTGCTAGGTTATTCAGTGATAAGCTGGCACATACACTGGTGTTCACCAGATAGCTAAGCAAAGCCCAACTGAACTGTCAGCTGAAGTACTTTACTAACCCAACCAGAACTTTCCCCATCTCTGGGTTCCAATATAATTAGTCATTAGGAAGATGTAAATGAAAACCACAGTTAGATACCACTTCACGTCTAATAGGACAGTTGTAAATGAAAAGACAATGACAAGTGTTAGCAAGGATGTGGAGAAATTGGAGCCCTACTGCAGCACTGGTAGGAATGCAAAATGTTGCAGCCACTTTGGAAACAGGCTGGCGGTTCCTCAAAAGGTTAGACATAGACTTACCATATTCCACTCCTAGGTATATACCCAAGAGAACTGAAAACAGATATCTGCACACAAAGTTGTACACAGATGTTTATAGTAGCATTATTCATAAGAGCCAAAATGTAAAAATAATCCAAATGTCCATCAACTGATGAATGGATAAACAAAATGTATATACATACCAAGGAGAATTATTCAGCCATAAAAAGGAATGAAGTACTAATACACGCTACAGCATGGATGAACCTTGAAGTGATTGTCTAAATTAACCTTTTCAGTTAAGTGATGACTTTCAAATACAGCTGCACTTGGAAACCACTTGGGGAGCTTATGCAGCTCCCTGGAATCTTTGTGAGTGGGGCAGCTGAACTGATGTCTGAAATCTATTAAACCAGTTGATTTCTAAGGCCCCTTACAGATCTAGAAATTGTATTAAATCTATGGCAGTGGGTCACCGATATTTTTGAAGCAGTAGTGAGAGAGCCAAGCCCAATGGATAGCTGTTACTTAGAACAGGTCTCCCAATAGGTCCTTCTTGAAATCTCAGCTGGTTCCTCTGTAAGGCATGACTGCCCTCCAAGGTTGAATGAAGACAACTCTTGCTAACAGAGAGGAACTCTTGCTGCAGGGCTAGGCCACACCTGATGCCATCATGCCTGTGTAGGCTGCTTTAAAAAGAAATCACCCCATTTTCAGGAACCTGCTGCTGGAGTTGAGAATAACCAGGCCCTCCCTCTATGACATTTATAGGCAAGGTTGGATAGAATGAAGTAATGGACTGCTGATAGTCCCAGGCTTTCTGTTTATCAGCACCTGTGGAGTCGTAAGCTGATTTAGTTAGGCTCAGTGTTAATAATGGAGCTGATTTTTTATTTACTTGTTCCCCCTAATATTAAGGAATTAAGCTGAATCATGTTCCGGTTACTGACCTCCTGCTGGTCTCAGCTAAAGACCGAAAAGACACGAAGGTAATGTTACAATTACTTCTCTATACCTATTCTGCCATTTCCTCCAATATACGTTCCCACAGTCCCTGAAGGCCCACCTCTTCATGATATATGTTGTCAGGGGAAGTGATTGAGCAGTGGCCGCAAGATTGGGGGGAGGGTTGGGGGAGGATGGTAAATCCTATCACGCAAGTGAATCAGGGAAGAAAATCATCCTTGGAGGCTTTGGGGAGGGGTTCCCGCACCACCTTCTACCCCTTTTATGGTACACACATCGGGACTACTTCAGGCAGAGCCGCGAACACCAAGGGAGAGTAGAATTCTTCGTTTAGCCTAAGAATTAACAATGCCTTTAAGGTTTTAGCTCACTTTCTTTTCAATTTCCAGGAATGTGACTGTCATTATCATCGGATTGGACAACTCGGGTAAAACTCTTCTTGTGGAGGTTTTCCGAAGATGTGAGTAGCTGAAAGCTCTAAATTCTATTTGAGGTCTCCCATGGGCCCCAGAACCAATGAGATAATCATTCCTACCTAGCCTCACCTGATGGCCTTCAGGTTCCCTCTTTTGAAGATAAACACTTCCCAGAACACACAATCATACATACTCCTCGGGTGTTATCAGCCTGTTTATATAATATCTATCACCTGCTCCCTTTACGAGCTAGCCTGCTGGAAGGTCCTCTCGGGGTGTCAGTATGAATGAGCTCAAATAATGTAAAGCACTTCAGTCCATTATGAAGGATAGCATGTTTGAAATACTGCCTAGTTTCAGGACTCAAAGTGGAATTTGGTCTAGATAAGAGAGGCAAGTGTAAGATGAAGAAGTTTAAAAACATGCAACTCTTCGTGACAGTGAATACAAAGGGCTGAAACATGAGAAATGTCAGCTCAGAGATGTGTAAATTTAATACCAGATCTCTAGTTTAATACCTTGACATTTTACGAAGCAGTTACACAGAATTTCAGAGAGCTACTATTCTAGTTGTGAAGACCCAGCTAACTACTGGCCAAATACATCAAAAAACCCAGCACAGTGAGTGGCATAGGATATCCTCCACTGATGTTTATTAAACAAAAGGAGTATGATGATGTGGCTGAGCTTTATATAACCTGGCAGCACTTAATAAAGCACAAGAAAGGGCTAACCTGGCCCTACCTGGCCCCACTGGCCTACTTGAAGCCTGCATCAGTTCCCTTAAACTAAGCAACAGCCTGGGGACTGATCTTGCCATCTCTAGTTGTACCCAGAGTATTCAGCCCACACAGTTGCCTGAAGGACTTAACGCAAAGAGCTCATCATGGCACTTCCCTGTTAAAACCATTCAATACCTCCCCACCATCATAAAAACAAAACTTAAGTTCCTTAGTGGCACACAAAGTCCTCCATGGTTGGGTCCCTGACTTTTTCAGCTTCATTTCCCACACTCTCCACATATGCCCCCAATAGAGCCAAAACAAAAGATTCACCATTGCTTTGCCATCAGACTGTTCTGACTCACATGCTCATGCTTTTGGCCATTCACATTGTCCCACTACCTAGCATTTCATCCCTTCTATTACCTACCTGCTTGATCAAACACCTCAAGGCACAAGCCTAAGCTTGACCTCAGGAAAGCCATCCCTAATGCCCAGCACCTCCTTGCTTGGCTCCAACTCTATTCTGTGCCTCCTGTCATCATGTACTTATCACAATATCAGCGCACAGCTTCCCAGTCCTTCCCCTAGATGGTGAGTCCCTCGAGGAAAAGTCATGGATCTTGCCAGCTTTGTATCTTCAGTTTCTGTATGTTTAGTACCTTCAGGCAGGTACTCGATAAATATTTGTGGAATGAATGTTCTCCCCTATTCCACCACTCCCCTCTGGCTACACGTTGCCTCTGTAACTTCTCCCTCCCTCCTCCTCTCCCAACCCGCAGAGTGGCAGCCCCAAGTACCACGTTTTAGCCAATGGTTCAGCCTAGTATCCCACTTTATAGGCACCAAACTTGACTCCTTGCCTCTCCCAGCTCTCTAATAGGCAGATACGGTGAAAAGGTAAACAGCACCAGGAAAATCAAGGAGCCAGGATACACCACAACTCTGATAAAAGTGGGGATGATTTTTAGACCCCCAACTCAGCCCCACCCCTAGACTCCCATCCAGTCTGGGTGAGGCCTGGGGCTATAGTTTAAGAACCTCCCAGGGGTTTCTGACGGTCAGCTAGCTTTGGGAAGCACTCGGCAGTTCACCTGTGTGCTGTTTTGTCTGTGAGAATAGTGTCTCCTTGCCATTCTAATTCCTAGAGGACAGAACCTGGAGTCAATTAATTGGTTACTGTGTAACTTGACTTGTGCTTGGTGAATAACTTGGGGCTGATTCATAACCCACTAGGTTTATGGTTGGGACTTCATTCACAGAGAAGTTTTTCATAGTTAAGAAGCAAAGTACCACTGATGTCACATTCTGAAGAATGTCTCAGGTCACCTCTGTCCACGTAGGGCTATCAGTCAACCTAGTAGGTTGCTCTGTACCCGAAATGCAATCATTCATCTCCCCTGCTCCTGCAAATGTTTATAGTTGCCAAGAACAGATAATGGCCTAGGAAAGAAATTCCAATCTACAAGTAGTAACTTGTGTGAGCATTGGAAGACGCCAGATATAAAGTATTTGGGAACATAAGCTATTATCATTACTGACACCATCCACTGTAACTGTTTTCTTTGGCACAAATTGGACAAGAATCCCAAGCATGAAGGTGCTATAAAGGAGGGCATTTACAGCAGTGCCTCTCAAACCTGGGGATCTTTAAAAGAAAAATGAGCCAGGATGCTCGAGCCCCACCCCAGATCTATGGCATCAAAGCCTCAGAGAATGAAGCCTAGTGTCATAGGTTTTAGAAGCTCTGCCGGTGATCCTGGAGCACGGTGAGTACTGAGATTCAAAAATCAGAATCACCCGGGGAGCTTTCACACCTGACCGGTGTGTACTGACTGGGCACCTGGAGGTTCAGATGCTTCGGTCTGGGCAAGGCCCATGAATCAAAGTCTTCACAAGCACACCAGATGCTGCTGAGACACACAGGCATGATGAGTTTCATTGCTCTCTGGGGCAGTGAGGTGTCACACTTTAAAGTGCACAAGACTCACCTGGGATTTTGTGAACCATAAGAGTTTGTTAAACCTCCTTGGTTTTCCTGCTGCTGTTTACCTTTTCACCATATCTGCCTATCAGAGAGTTGGCAGAAGCAGGAGTCAAGTTTGCTGCCTATAAGGTGGGTCCCAAGCATAGCAATTCTGATTCATTCGGTGCAGGGTAGGGCTTAACGATACCCCCCTCCACTTATAACTCTGAAACAGTCCTCAGACTGTGCTTTCCAAAACACTCCATTAGGGACATACAGATGTATTAGACTCAGAACATGTGGTCAGGGAGTTTGTAAATTAACAGAGGGAAGAAGAGAAATGTAAATTGTCAGGAACAACTTCTCATGGCTTCTAGAGGTTACCAGCAATAGATTGCATTATTGATATTGCTATGATTTCAAGTAAAAAGAAAAAAAAATGAGGGGAAATGTTTTGCTCTCACAGGAAAACATATATATAAAGCTTTTGTCAAAGTAGGAAACCAGATTTAAAAGTTACCTGTAGAGTTTTAACCTATTCACTTATTTTTAGGTAATCTAATACAGACATAGCAAATACCACATCAAAGTTGTGACTGAAAGTTATGTTATCTGAAAGCTATAATTAAAAAGATCATTGACTAAACAAGAAAACAGAAGAGGAGTTATGACATTAAAATATAATGATAATATACACATATACACATAGAGATATATATGTATACATGTAAATGTGTATATTATCATACATTTCCAAAGATCTGAAAGCATCTTACCAACTTCTCAGCTAAATGACTCATTCTGGCAATGAGTATGGAAACTGTCACAGGTAGATTTGACTATAAATAAGAAGCTACTAATTCTGGTCTTACAACTCTCAGGTCTGAGTGTAGAGAATGTACAAAATTTTGCTACTAATGTCGGCAGGGAGCTAGGCCAGGATCGTGAGTTCAACAGAATGGACTGTGCATAAAGACTGTCATTTTGCACTGCATTTCTATGGGAGCTGAATGGGGGATAGAATGCCCTACTGAATGGTGTGCTCTGGCCTTAGCTTGAAAGGGCAAATGTATCTGAGTTTGGCATGGTTTCTTGGAGGCGATAGGAGGAAGAGAACTTCATACTCTCATCCACAGCAACAGGCACCACACCACCATTTATTGAACACCTACTGTGTGTAAGGTAATGCCGAGCCCCTCCCTCACAGAGCTTACATGTTAGTTGAGAAGACAGAGCATGCACTGAATGAGGTGAAGGACCAGTTTAACAGACCACATGCTCAACGGGAGGGAAACAAGAGCTGGGCAGGTCAGAGAGGCTTCCTAAAGAAAGTGGTAGTCGAGATGGGCCTTGAAGAAAGGGTGAGATGGGGGGGGGGCTCCTGTTTATTCATTCCTCAAAATTCATTCCACAAATATTTATTGAGCACCTGTGTGCCAGCTTCGGTCTTTGGCATCATGAATACAATGGTGAATAAAATTGAAAGCTTATGAAATCATAGAATTTGCAACACTGTAACATGCACTGTGATAGGGTAATAAGCCCAGAAGAAAGGCACCTTATCCGGACTGGGGGACGGCGGTGTGAGTTAGGGAAAACTTTTTGTAGGAAATAAGACCTAAATCGATTTTTTTAAAAATAGGCATTAACCAAGCAAGTAGTGGAAGAGTGTTCTAAGCAGTGGGGATAGCACCTCGTGAAGGCCCAAAGCAAGAGACGACATGGCATTCTTGTGGAGTGGGGGTAGTATGAGCCAGGGAGCAGTGGGAGGAAGAGACTGGGTATGTCCCAGGGACACTGTGGACACCAGTCAGGGCAGAGATAGGTCTGGCAGGTTAGGAGGCAAAGGAGTCCTTATTCTGTCCTTGGAACTGTGGGCACTTACCGAAGGCTACTGAGCCAGGAGAGGGTAGCATGGCCAAGTGCTGCTTCAGGAAGTTGAATCACTGAGTGTGAGCAGGATGGCAGGATGCCTCAGTAGGATTCCTCAGGGCAGTCAAGGTTCCTTTCATCAAGGTTCAGATCGTTGTTTAACACATTCTTTCTTCTGACACTACACCCCTGCTTTGTGGTTACTTCTCCTCTCTTCCCCTATGCATAGTACTTCCCAGAAGGATGGATAATTTTGTGGCATCTGAATTGACTACGCTCCTGCTGGATGAATATGAAGTTTCCATCTATGACCTGGACGGAGGCATGCAAGGCCGGGAAATCTGGCCCAACTACTATGCACAGGCACATGGGCTTGTCTTTGTCCTGGATTCCAGTGACTTTGGACGCATGCAAGAAGCGAAGATGATCTTAACGTGTCTGCTGTCTGATCAAAGAGTGGCAGGGAAACCCATCCTAGTGTAAGACTCTGCCTTTGTGCCCAATTTCTCCTTCCTTCCCATTTTGCGCCTGTACAACAGAAGTAGACAGAAGAAGGGCTGGGTGGTCCCTTTGTCACCGCCAGCTAGGCTTCCTCTTCCCCTGGCTCAGTGACAGGGGATGGCCCCACCCTCTGGGGCTATTTACAAGAGCCACTTTCTCCCACATCCTGCCATGGGGGGAACTTATTACCTGATTGTGCAAAGGTAATTTTGATGCTAAGCATCAAAGGGAAATGGAGAATATCTGGATCTTCCACCTCCATCCTTCAACTCCCTGGAAGACTGCCTTCCGGAATTTGCTTCTCTTTCCTGGCTTCAGTCTCTGACCCTGAGACGGTGACAGAAAACAACCCCTATTTTGTATAATCAGTGCCAATGGGCTCCTCCCTTGGCAGACTGCCCAAGAGTCATGTAACGAGCACTTATTCTAGGGTAATAATTCAGGTGGCCTGTCAAGCCTCGCCCCTCACCCACTCTCTTTTCGCCGTTTTTTTTTTTTCCTCATTAGCACCCCCAACTCAAGCAAAAACAGAGTTTGGGAGAGGATGTAAAAACTCCAAATGGGTTCATATCCCAGTCAGCAATTCTAATTAAAGTCCAATGGCACAGTGTAGAGGATGTGAGAAATGAGGCCTGGGGTTATCTTGGATTCAAATTATTTGTGGTCTTCTTTCCTCCACTGAAAATTGGCTAGAAACATGTCTGGCTCATCTCATTGGGCAGGTCTTTAAGGCTAGTTCCTGGATATGCAGCAGCTGCACCAGAATTGGTTCTCCCCCTTTCCCTTCTTGCCTTGCCCATGGCCTCTATTTCTATTTCAATCGTCTGTCCTTCCTCCCTCCCCTCCCCTATGCCCTGCTGTAGCCTGGCAAATAAACAAGACAAGGAGTATGCCCTCCTACCTAGAGAAATTATCAAATACCTACTCCTGGAAAGGCTGGTGAACGAGAGCAAGTCCTGCTGCCGAGTGGTAAGTGTCAACCCCTCTTGAGCCCAGCTGATGCCTCCCTTGGCCCATTCCATAATCGAGCCCCGTAATGCTGGGTCTCAGGCAAAGCCTCTTCCTACCAGGCAACATCTATAGTGATGACTTCTAATTTGGTGACCATAAATATCACATGTTATAATGCTTTCACATATGTTTTTCTCATTAGGCCTTCAAAACAGCTCTGTAAAGTTAGAGTTTGAATATCCTCATTTTATGGATAGGAAAGCTAAGACTCAGAGACTCTGAGTGACTTACCCAAGGTCATACGTCCAAGACATTATACCAGAACCACTTCATTAAAGGACCTTAGCTTTCCTATGTCTCATTTACCTTCTCAGGAGTAAATGCTGAGTGTCCCCTAGGAAGACTTAGAGCCTCTCTAGGCACAGCAGAGCTTACGTGTACCTCTGCCTTTTGGCTGAAAGTGATTGGACCTGTGGGGCCCCAGAGATCCCATCCTCCTGGGTTGGAGCCTTCTCATCTCTTTTTGTCACAGGAACCCTGTTCAGCCATCAAAGAAGCCCAAGGAAAGAACCATCAGCCCATAATTAAAGGGCTGCGCTGGCTGTTAGCTGCCACTGGGGATAAATATGGAGACCTGTGTACTCACCAACTGCCATTCACCCCGGACATCCCAACCTCCAAGGGCACCAGAGGCTCTCGGAGAAGATGCTCATCAGACAGGTACTGAGCTGCCTCTATTAGGTACTGGTAAGAATAGATGCAGAAGTCGATCTTCAACATGTGCAGGGAGTTCTGGGAAGTGCTTGGATTCCGTGCAGTGCTGAGCAAGTCCCTCAAGATCCGCTGGGCCAAAAGGGGCTAGAGCAGTGACCAGGAACATTCCAGCTCTGTTAGGGACACCTTTCCCACCCACCAGCACAACTTGAGTGGTCACGTTAGTGGCATGAGTCGTATAAAGGTAAAGCCACCTGTCGGCACTGGAGCTTCCCTAAAATGGGGATTCTCTTCCCTGATTTGCCACATGGAGGAGCAAAGGAGCATGAGCCCCTTAAGGAGCTTTCTGGCAATACTGTACAGATGAATGTCTTAAAGCTACCCCCACACTCTCCTCTTCCAGTTCTCTGATTCTCCCAATAATAAGGAGAGATGAGAAAACGGTAATAGGAAGAAGAAGAAGAAAAATAAAAGAAAACTGAGGTGATCAAGGTTCTGAGAAGCAAAAAGCCTAAATGCCCTTGCTCTTTGGCCCTTCTCATTGTCCAAAGGCATATGGCAGGGAGGGGGCAAGAGTGGCATTCAATTAAGACGCTTGAGGTGTTTTCACTTGTTTGTTCTTCCTATCTTCCTTACCTTCACTACCAGGATGGGAATGTCCATAGAAAAAAGGCAGCATCGAGGACAATGCCCAATGGAAGCTAGACCCCTAAAGCCAGTCCTACTGGTAAATGGTTCTTTAAATGTTACTGCCCCAGAGACCACTCCCTGAACTCTCAGGCACCAACTGACTTTTTTTCTCCATCTTCTTGTTGTACAGAAAGAAGGTTTAAGATTAAGGTCTAAAAGGAATCTATCAGTAACATTTGCTTTAGATGAACCCATGGAAGAAGATGAATGTTCTGTGGGTAATATGGCTTGGAACACTAACGCTACTGAGCCTCACTGCAATCCGAGTGATGACTTGCAGACCCCAGCTCCACGTGTTGAGAATCATCTTTTTAAAGGTAATGCTTCATCAGCAGTTAGTCAGAGAAGAAAAGACATACAGGCCTTTCCTCGCAATTTGTAGCACAGTATTCCTATTTTTAGTCTGAAACTCTTTTCTCATACTGTGGTTGCTGGTCAGGAGGAGAAATGGATCAAGGGAGAGTGCTTGGGGACCACCATTTGGTAGCTTAGGATGACGCCCCAGCACTGGCTGACACCAGATCTTTCTTTGGATGGCTATAGGGTTGTCTTAAAGGATACGATTTCCAATGGTGGAAGTAAAAATTGGTACAACCTTGATGGAAAACACTTTGGTCATCTGTCTCTCTCTTGCTCTCCCTCTCTCAATATATTTATCAGTAAGTTTTAAAATGTGGAAACCCTGTGAACCAATCATCTCATTTTCTTGAACTGTATCCATAATTACACAAAGACCCAAAAAAGTATGTTTGTCATTGTTCTAGTACAACAGCTAAAAGCTGGAAACAAGCTCATGTCTAACCGTGGGGAATGGGCTAATAAATTATGATCCATCCACACAGCGGAATGCTATGCAGACACTAAAAGGCTAAAGTTGACTCATATTTACTGACATGGAAAGCTTTCCACCATCTGATGCTTTGTTAGGGAAAATGGCAAGTCAGAGTGTAGCATTTACAGTATGATGGCTATACGTGCATAGAATATCTGGAGGGAAATCACCAGAACATCAGCAGTGGTTTTCTCTGGGGCTTAGATAAGAGGTGATTTTGAGAAGTAAAACGCCTAGGTGACATTCTTTGGATTTTTGTTTTACTGGAAATTTTCATTTTTATAATAAGCACGTACGATTTCTCCCAATACAATAAAGGCATTTTCTAAAAAGCTATGAGGACCTAAAGGCCCAATGTAGTTAATGGCTACTCCTTCTCAGTATTGCTTGAGACCCCAGTCTCCATGATGGTCAACCATCAATATTATGTCCCCTCTAATCTCCCAGGGATCTGGCCCTTCTGGCTACCCCAGAGCCTTTGGTTGTTCTAACTGTGTGGCCGGAGGGTAGGGGGCAGGGGGCAGGGGGCAGGGGTGGGGGGTGCAGGGGCTGGCCTTGGCCTGGGGCACTGAGAAGGAGAAATGCACTGCTCCAGGAATGAGGGGTGAGGGTGAGAGCTGAGAGTCCGGAATTTGGTAGAAGAGTGAAGCAAGTGTTTTTGTAGATGTAGTCAGGAACTACTACTAAATCTTTGTTCAAAATTGAAATCCATTTTCATTTCTATAACCTCAGAACCCAGGGCAAAAAAGAGAATGGATACGTGGGACACAGAAGAGATGTTACTGGACAATCCTTGTGGAGAAACCTTTGCATTCTGTGGTTCGTAGTCCTTAAGCCCAGGGTAGAAGGGAGAGAGCAAGAGTGAGAAAAAGTCTGAGGCCACAGCTGGGTGGGGGTGCTTAGTGGGGTACAGGATACATCCCCTTGGAAAGTAGCCACCACCCTCCTGCCCTGGAGTGGTCTGAGGACAGGAAATCTGGCACATAGCTTTGCTTGCACTGACTGGCTGTTTTCTTTTTCTCAGACTTTTAACGGAGTACTAAAGAGAAAAATGGAGGGAAGTCAAAAGAAACACTAAAATCCCTCCCTCAGTAAATGGGTTCATCTCCAGAACCATCAGGACTATTTAGTTTTTCAGTTTCTACTTGTTAATACCTCTACAGTCCCCTACAATGACACTTACTCTAACATCACATCTCTCAGAACTCCCATTGTTCCTGTACATCTACATTCGAGCTGTCAAATGAATCTTATACCCACCGAGAGGCTCAAGAAAAGCTAGGTGGCATCCATTTGAGAATGAACACGACCTTGGCAGAGAGCACAGACTTCCCATCTTTGCACCCAGATGGTCCTGACGAAGCCTGTGAACAACGTGCTGTGGGTGACCAACTGCAATTAAGCCTTAGAAGTACAGGGACAATTTAGAATTACATTCCCCACACTAAGTTTCTTCAGTATAAGGGGACTGGCAGAAATAAACTGAAGTTTTCTGATGAGAATTATGCTCTGCTGACTCATTTTCAGTCACGCCTCCAAGAACAACTCGCTTTTAAATTCCCAGCCACTCTCTGTGGAGCCTGGCAACAATCCCTTTGCTGTCCCTTCAGGAATAGCAATTGCTGTCTCTCCTCACACTGTGGTTAGGTATGCAAAAGCTGTACACACTTGAACGTGCTCAACCCTCCACCTCAAGGGGGGTAGTGGTAGTGGTGGTAGTCATTGACCATCACTATGACTACTACTATCACCAGGTACCACAGCCACCATTTACTGAGTGCCTTCTGGATGTCGGGCCCAGCACTGAGTTCTTCACATTCATTATCTTATTCACAACAGCTCTTGAGGGGAGGCAGTAGACCTGCCTGCATTTTACAGATGGGGAAACTAAAAGGGCTGAGAGGTTAAATAACTTGCCCATGGTCCCACACCTTGTAAGAAGCAGAGCAAGGAACTGAATCCAGATCTGGCTCTAGAGTTACTTTAGACCAGAAAGAACTACCTGTGCTTTACTCAGCCTCCATCCAGGAAGAGAAAGCTATATTCAGGAAAAACGGTGAAGCTTAGCCAGGCCCGTACCGGGAGAATGACATGGATAGCAATAAGCACACCAATTGTAGTAATAGGCACGGATGACTGAGCACTTCCATTTTGTCAGGCGCTGGGCTAAGTGCTTTACATACATTATTGCCTTTCATCTGCACAAGCCTCTGAGGTCAGTTCTATTAGCATCGTCTTCACAGAGGCAGAAACTGGTGTTCAGAGAGGTCAAATCATTCGTCCCAGGGTACCCACTAGAAAGTGGCAGAGCTGGTTTTCAAATGAAGGCCCAACTCCTAAACTCATGCTCCTAACTCCTACCCCATAGGGCCTCACCAGGCAGTGCAAGCCAACTAGCCCATAGTTGTTTCCAGTCTTACAACCCCATCTGGAGGGTCTGAGACTTTCTAAGGCTGCATCACTTGCTATTATGCATTGCATATGGCTTTGTCTCCAAGGAAACCACCCAGACACCTTGCAGGTCTTTTGACAGGATTCTGACTGAGGCTCAGCTTATTGATCGTGGAGCTGGAAGGAACCTTACAGAGCCTTTAGTCCAACCCCAGTGAAACAGATGAGGAACTTGGGGTACAGAGAGGTTAAGTGGCTTGCCCAGGATTGTGCAGCTGATCACCAGTAGAGCTGCTCCTAAAATCCAGACATCCTGTGTGCCTGAGCCAGTGCTCTGTCTTCTCTGTCCAAAAATACCACATCCTCCCTGAGTCTTCTCTGGCCATTGCTGATCCACCTACTCTCTTCCAATTTGTCTGATACACATCACTGGAGAATTCTGATGATAATCATTCTCACCTCTGGATGCAGCAAATGTCTCTGCTGAAGAAGAGTTTTATCAGGCAGGAGATGTGATTCAACAAATCAAGTTTCTCAAGAAAATCAGAATACCCACAGTTCTCGGTATGGCATGTGTGTTTATGAGGCAGGCATACTTTCTCAGCCAAGAGGGGAGGGAAAGTGTGGCCAGAAGTGTTCCCTATGAATGTGGGCAGGGTGGAGAATTTAGGTTGAAACAACTCTGACAAAATTCAAGTCCAGTATGCTGGCGCCCTTCCCTTTGTACTAGGTATGTATTCCTGGGTGTCGACCAAATTTTCCTACATAGAATCTGTCCATCACAAGGAGTTATTGGAAGAACATCTCCCAACAACAGCCAGAATACCCTAATTTATTTTTGACTGAATCTTAATTTTGTTGCTGCAGACTGTTACTGTACTTTCCAAACGTCTTACCAAGCTGGGTGACCTGGCAATTTCCCCCAGTGAAGACAAGAATGTGAGTACGTACCTCACAGGCTTGATGTGAGGCTCAAAGGGGACCATCCATATAAAAATGCTTAGCAGAGTGCCTGGCACATAAGAAGTAACTCATTAAATGTTAGCTACTACTACTATAACTAGGGGAGGAGCTTAGATCATTAGACAGCTACACCCCTCCCCCTTTGGGGGACAGGTACCCATTTTTCTACAAAGAACAACCCAGAGAGAGAGGTCTTGGATTCTAAAGTACAGAGAGAATACAGACTCTAGGGTAGGTATGACCACTGCCAACCACAGCTCCCATATCCTTGTCTTTGAGAATATTCAATCTGCCAGAGAGATCTTACAGATCTATACCTTAGCAAGGCAGCCCAGAGACCAAGATTAAGGGTAGTTTTTGAGCCTAGAGGGCAAATTTCCTTTCAAGCCAGTGACTGCCTTGGAGTTTCTCTCCTTTTGTTGTCAAGGCCTTGGACAGCCTCCTCCAGGACTTTTTAAGCCTAGCTCCTGTCAGAGGTGCTCTGAACACGTGTGCCCCTGGCTCAGCATTCAACAAGCCCCACTTGGCCCTGGGTACTTGTCCATTTGGTCTTGCAAGACAGGCCTGGGCTTCCTGACTAGAGAATTCAATACGCAGAGGTAGGGGATCCCTCTGCTCTGAATGGTTTTCAACCCCTGAAATATATTACCACTCTTCATGCTTATGTTGTTTCTACCCACCAGTAGTATTGTGTCAGCAGAGTTGGTATCCAGAATGACCTGCAGAACACAGGTCATACAGTTTGTACGCAGTAAGGGTTAAGGAAGAAGAGTGATAAGGTGGGCTTGGGGACTGGAAACCAGTTGTAGCTAACCTAGCTATAAATCCCCTGAAGATGTGAGTGTTTGGTGCTTGGGCCATACCATTTATGTTTTGAGTATCACCCTTTGTTCCAATTAGTGTGTCCTATTAGAATCACTTGTTTTCGAGGCAGTTGGTACGGGTGAGATTTAACCAAGTGCCTTGAACACACCACCACTCTTCTCAGGAGAATCCTGCCAACCAGCATTCTTAACTATAAAATGCCATTATCCGTGGGTGGGGTACGGGTCAAGCCTGAACTCACTGCTCTGTCACTCACCCCTATAAGTCCTTTATGGGATGACCAAAACCTCGATTTCTGACAGAAAGGGGTGTAGAGAATGAAAGCTACTGTCCAGCTTTCCAGGATCCAGGACTTGAAATCATCCCCTCACACCCACTTCACTTTTACAGGTGCCTAAAAGAACACAGCCACGGCACCCTGACCTGTGCGTATTCCTTTAGCTACAATAATCCATCCTCCCACTCCCCTTACCATTTCTCACAGATCAGTTTCTATGGGAAACACAGGTGGAGCTGTTACCCCTGGCGAGCCAAAAGCAGTAGGAACTTCCTGCGGTTGGCATGAAGGGAGTATCAGCTGAGGGTTGAGGGTTGTGGGAGTCGGGGCTTGTACCTCTGCCCCTGTGCCTATGAAGTGCCCGGCCCAAGTCCAGGGAGCCTAAGAGGCTCCGCTGTTGGGTGGTGGGCGGAGCAATGTTAACAAAGCACTCAAACAGTGC